TTTTAGTAGAGACGGGGTTTCACCATGTTGGCCAGATGGTCTCAATCTCCTGACCTTGTGATCTGCCCACTTTGGCCTCCGAGAATGCTGGGATTCCAGGTGTGAGCCACCGCACCTGGCCATATATCCCAATTTCTATCTCCTACATCCTTTTTACATAAATGATAGTTTATTATTCATACTTTTTATATTTGTTTTATTTACTTAGTAAAATATCCTGATGATCACTAGTAAAACATAGAGGTTTTTAAAAAATATCTTTTTACTGTTTTATAATATTTCATTAGGTAAAGTATTTTCAGCTATTTCTTATTGATTGATATTTGAGTTGTTTTCTGTATTTTGCTATTATAAGTCATGCCATAGTCCATATGCCCTTTGTGTTTCTGCTGCTCTTTTACTGGGATAGATAAAATATCAGTAATTTAAATTTGAAGTACATTAGAATAATAATACAGGAAAATTGGGGGAATGGGAGATAGAGCAAATATGGCCTACCCTCCATAAATTCATCACTTTTTACAAGTACTGTCAGTTTTATGTATTAGTGTTTTATTCTCTTTCCATGTATGTATTTTTTATAATTGATGTCATACATATTATAGTTTTTCCACTAATAGTAAATTAGAAATTTTCTTACATGCTTTATACATTTATTGTACTTTTTAATGGTTATATTTATATTGTATCAACATTTGCAAATATAGATTACTAGTGATGGAGATTTAGAATATTGCTAGTTTTGTTTTTGCTAGTTTGTTTAATACTGTAGGGACTATCCCTGTGTATTTACAAGCCTGCTTTCTTAGAGTGAATTTCCAAGACTAGGATAGCCAGGTGAAAGGATGTGAGAAGTTTGATGATTCTTTAAACATGTTATAATGTTTTCCAAAAAGGCTATAGTAGTTTATAATGTATGCTCCTGTATATGAGTGAAGTACCTAGCTTTTATAACCCATATAGTGCCTATCACTTTCTGTCCGAAGTGGCAAATATTTATGGATGCATGGTCTTTTCTCCAATACTGTATGGTAATGGCTGTACCTTATACATATTTGTATGCATTTCTTTGCCTTAACAGAATGCTTTTCTAAGTAAGCATTGAATAAACACTCAGTTTTGGAATTGCTTGATGAATGCAATTTGTGATAATCATATTTAAAAGTTTGATGGAGAGTCTCAAGTATTATACATGAACAATGTCAACACAACACAAAATGTATAGTTAGCAGGAAGTTGTAGATAATGATGTGCCATTGTTTGTGAATGTAATGTTTCTCCTTCTACAGGTGGGGGACCTTAGGCTTGCATTGCAACGTGCAGAACAAGCAGCTGCCAGAAAGGAGGATTATTTACGCCATGAGATTGGTGAACTTCAGCAGGTACTGTCACAGTGTTCTGAAACACAAGTCCAAGAACTATGTGTCTTTCTAGAAATAAAAAAATGACTCAGTGGGATAATGTTGATGGAACTGAGAGGGCTGCTATCACACTTAGCATTTGCTGTATTTTTGTGGCTTGTGTGAATAAATCAGAGTGAGCACCTTAAAAATGTATACAAGAAAAGGTTTTGTTTTTATAGAAAATAATGTTATCATGATAGATTTGTTATATATATATTCAGTATTGCTTTTCCATTTGTAATGGCTTATTAGTGATTATCAGTCTTTGATTACTGTGGGACAGGTAACAGTTCCCGGTTTCTATGTCTCTGTTAATTTTCCGTCAGTTAACATGCACAGGAAAAGGGAGAAGAAATAGAACTTAGATTGATTTTTCTGTTTTTATAACTACTTAAAAATATTTGAAGAGGCAACTACTAAGAGGTTTGGATGAACTCTTTTTTTACCCTTCAGATAATTGAAGACTATCTTAGAAATGCTTTTTAAAGAAGCATTTATTTATTTATTTTGAGACAGAATCTTGCTCTGTCGCCCAGGCTGGAGTGCAGTGGCATGATTTCGGCCCACTGTACCCTCTGCCTCCTGGGTTCAAGAGATTTTCCTGCCTCAGCCTCCTGAGTAGCTGGGATTACAGGCGTGCACCACCATGCCCAGCTAATTTTTGTATTTTTAGTAGAGACGAGGTTTCACCGTGTTGGCCAGGCTGGTCTTGAACTCCCGACCTTAGGTGATTCACTTGCCTTGGCCTCCTAAAGTCCTGGGATTAGAGGTGTAAGCCACCGTGCCCACCCAAAGAAGCACTTATTTAGATACTCTGTTACACAGTCTAATTCTATTGGAAGGATCAAACAGTTAGAAAAATAATTAAGGGCCGGGCGTGGTGGCTCATGCTTGTAATCCCAACACTTTGGGAGGCTGAGGCAGGCAGATTGCCTGAGCTCAGGGGATCGAGGCCAGCCTGAGTAACATGATAAAACCTCATCTCTACAAAAGAAATACAAAAATTAGCCAGGTGTGATGCCATGTACCTGTAGTCCCAGCTACTTGGGAGGCTGAGGGTGGGAGGATCACTTGAGCCTGGGAAGTCAAGGCTACAGTGAGCCAAGATTGTGCCACTGCACTCCAGCCTGGATGTTAGACTGAAACCCCATCTCTAAAAATAATAATAAAAATAATAATTTAATTTAAAAGCAAATAATTTTCTCTTGGAAAAATAACTCTCCAGGAATCTCTTCTAAAGTTTAGGTTTGCTAGTGCTTTTAATGTTTTTATTAGTGTCATTGGTAGTGACTTAATAATTTCATGATTCAGAGACTCCAGGAAGCAGAAAATCGAAACCAGGAACTGAGTCAGAGTGTTTCATCAACAACAAGACCACTGCTTCGACAGATAGAAAATTTGCAAGCAACCCTAGGGTCCCAGACATCGTCGTGGGAGAAATTAGAGAAGAATCTTTCTGATAGGCTTGGTAACTGCTTTAGTTTTTATGCTCAATGCAGAAACCCTTCCATCTTGTTTATAGAATTAGAGTAATGGTATGAAATTGAAATTCATTTGCTCTGATACTTATATTTTGTGTCTAATATTTCGATTTTTACCTTTTCTCTTTTTCTATGTGTATTTTTAATACCTTTATTATGTCTCTTTCAAACCATTTTTCCGGTTACACAATGTTATCAGATACTGGCTAAAGTAGTTCCATGTCATTCTTTCATTCATTTCTACAGACTGTTGCACTTGAGTTTTTTCTTGTCCATTGCTAAATCTGACCCCTTTGTAGCTTGTCTGCAATAGTGTAGGAGGTCGAGATCAGATATGATTCTCATCAGTGGTACAATTCCAAGAGCGAAAATAGGTCTAAGGAGAGTCAAGATCAACTTTAGAAGAGAGATACTATGGAGTCTTAAGATTCCATATTCTGGCAGGGCATGGTGGCTTACATCTGTAATCCCAGCACTTTGGGGGACCATGACGGGCATATCACTTGAGGCCAGGAGTTAAAGACCAGCCTGGCCAATGTGATGAAACCCCATCCCTATTAAAAATACAAAAATTAATTGGGTGCTGTGGTGCATGCCTGTAATCCTAGTTACTTGGGAGGATGAGGCAGAGAATCACTTGAACCTGGGAAGCAGAGGCAGCACTGAACTGAGATCGTGCCACTGCACTCCAGCCTGGATGACAGAGTGAGACTCCATCTCCCATATTCTGCTTTTTTACAGTCATGCCCCAGGTTGCCCTTCTGTGATGTTAATAGAAAGAAAAGTATTGTTCTAAAATGTTTCCCTTCAAGCACAGACAGGTAGTGTACGTATATTATAGATATCCCAGCAGCTAGCAGATTCATGAAAAATTCAAGTATGCCTTTTATGCCTGACACTCACTGTAATTTGAGAAATCATGGTGTAGTGATAAAATCAGACCTGAATGAGTAAGGAGACATGGACTCAGGGTGTTTTGTTTTGAATCATCCAACAAAACAGTCTGGAACAAGTCACTTATATTGTTCCAACTCTCTCTGTGCTATTCCTTGTGAATTAGGAGGGGTGAACTAGATTAGTGACTTTTTTTTTTGGCCACAAAAAGAATACAATACCTAGGAAGATTAGTGATTGTCAAGTAGTATTCAGTGGACTCTTGGATACCTTGTGGCTGCTGTCACAGTGAGAGGGGAGCTTGATAAATAATAGGCAGGGCTTCCCAGGCTGCTATAATGAAAACAGGGCCTCTTTTGTCTTATTTTATTGGAGCTCCATGTAAGATTTGGTCTAGAAAAAGATTCATCTGCTTAAAAAAATTTACTGAACTAGATAAACCTTAATGTATATTTAAATTTATAGGTATAAATGTTAGGTCTGTCATTTATGACAACTTTTTTGAGACCAATGTGAAATGAAATATGAGACATCTGAAAATGATACCTTTTGAAATAAATATTTGCAGTAAATGAATGCTAACAACTGATACTTTTGTGGTTTTTAGACTGAAGTTTCCATACCCTCAGGGATATGTGGTATCATGCTAGCATATAGGCAAAGCCACAGGACCAACATACCAAGGAATGCTATTAAAAAGACCATAGCTACTCTGTGGAGCAGAGTGTAAAATGTAAAATAGAGGTGTTACTAGCTCTACTTTGGTGGAGAAAAAATATGAGAATTCTTACCTAGGTTAAATCTCAGAATCTTATCCATTGCTCTTTTTTCAATTGAAATTTTAAATGATATACTGTAAATTCACATGCAGTTATAAGAAATAATATAGAAAGGTCCTGTGCAGACATTGCTTAATATTTCCAAGTATTAAAATTTTAACAATATTAATGTATAATATCAATCATAGTATTGACATGGATACCATCTACTAATTTTATTCAGATTTCCATAGTTTTATTGGTACTCATTTGTGTGTGTGTGTGTGACACGTGTGCACACACACGCATATGTATTAAGTTCTGTACAATCTTACCACATGTTCATTACCATAGTCAAGAATATTGAACAGTTCCAACACTATGAGTCCTTCCTGTTGCCTTTTTCTTCTTTTTTTCTTAGCTGTTACCCTTTTGGAAACACACCTCCCACTCTCTGAACCCCCTCCCTCCCCTGTCCCAAATCTCTGGCAGTCACTAATCTGTCCTCCATTATTTCTAAAATTCTGTCATTTCAAAATGTTACATAAATAAAATTATACAGTGTATGACATTTTGGGATTGGCTTTTTTCACTCAGCATAATGCCCAGGAAGAGGTTCACACAGTAGTTGTTTGTATCAGCAGTTCAGTGTTTTTACTGCAGAGTGTTATTCCATGGTATGTATGTACCACAGTTTGTTTAGCCATTCAGTGGACAAAGGATATCCAAGCTGATTCCAGTTTCTGGCTATTACAGATAAAGGTACTGTGAATATTCGGATACAGGTTTTAGTGTGGACCTAAGTTTTCATTTCTCTGGATAAATGCCCAAGTCATGTTTAGTGTTTTTAAGAAAATGCCAAACTATTTCCAAAGTGGCTGTATAAGAGTAATCTAGTTTATTCACATTGTTGCCAACATTTTGTGTTGTCCCTGTTTTTTCTTTTAGTTACTCAGACAGGCATGTAATCATACCTCATTATGATTTTAATTTATATTTCTCTAATGACTAATAATATTGAACATCATTTTATGTCCTGTTTTTCATTTGTACATCCTCTGTGGTGAAATGTCTATGTCTTTTACCCATTTTCTCACTAGATTGTTATATATTCCTGATACTAGTCCTTGATAAATGGTTTGCATTTATTTGCTTTCACTCTATATCTTGCCTTTTCATCCTCTTCACATAGATTTAAAAATTCAAAATTTTGAAGAAGTTTGTCAGTTTTTCTTTCTATGACTCTTGTTTTTGGTGTCAAATCCAAGTACTCTTTGCCTTGCTCTAGATCCTGAAGACTTTCTCCTCTATTTTTTCCTAAAAGTTTTTTAGTTTTATGTTTTATATTTAAGTCTTTGAACCATTTTGAGTTAATTTTCTTGTATGATGTGATGTATAGGATTTTTTTGTTTTGTTTTATATAGATGTCCAATTGCTCCAGGACCATTTGTTATCCACTACTCTTTTAATGCATGACTCTATTTTCAAATTAAAATACTTTTGGAAAAGAATGAAAAAGCAGGTATAAGTTAAGATTGGTTCATTTGTCCCAGTAGATAGTCCTGCCCTAGGCAATAACTGCATCATTAAATGTTTGAAATCATAATTGACTTGGTGTTTTGGTCTCTGGACTATATGTGTATCTGATTTTTCTTTCTGTCCTATAATCAGGTGAATCCCAGACCTTGCTGGCAGCAGCAGTTGAGAGAGAACATGCAGCTACAGAAGAACTCCTTGCTAACAAAATTCAGATGTCTTCTATGGAGTCACAGAATTCTCTCTTAAGACAAGAAAACAGTAGATTTCAAGCCCAGCTAGAATCAGAGAAAAATAGGCTACGAAAACTGGAGGATGAGAATAATAGGTGAGCATGGTTTTTGAGTGATATTTTTGGTAGTTCCGTGACATCATAAAGCACTTTTTAAAAGTATGTTGTTGGGCCAGGCGCGGTGGCTCACGTCTGTAATCCTAGCGCTTTGGGAGGCCAAGGCAGGCAGATCACTTGAGGTCAGGAGGTCAAGACCAGCCTGGCCAACATGGTGAAACCTAGTCTCTTCTAAAAATACAAAAATTAGCTGGGCGTGGTGGCGTGCACCTGTAATCGCAGCAACTTGGAAGCTGAGGCACAGGAATAACTTGAGCCTGGGAGGTGAAAGTTGCAGTGAGCTGAGATTGTGCCACTGCACTCCAGCCTGGGTGACAGAGTGAGACTCCATCACAAACAAACAAACAAAGTGTATTGCTGGCTTTTAGCTTCATAGTACGAAGAACTAAAAGTAAACACTTTTAGTGTTTAAAGTTAGAATGATTAGTAATAGGATATTATGCCCAGGTATGGAGGGTCACGCCTGTAATCCCAGCACTTTGGGAGGCCAAGGCGGGTGGATCACCTGAGGTTCAGGAGTTAAAGACCAGCCTGGCCAACATGATGAAACCCTGTCTCTACTAAAAATACAAAAATTAGCCGGGCATTGTGGCGGACACCTGTAATCCCAGCTACTCGGGAAGCTGAGGCAGGAGAATCGCATGAACGTGGGAGATTCAGTGAACAGAGATGGCACCATGGCACCCCCATTGTGCAGCAGAGCAAGACTCTGTCTCCAAAAAAAAAAAGTAATAGGATATTATAGCAGGATAGTACTGGGATTCATTGACTATTATATAGGTTGTTGAGATTGTGTGGCGTGTTTTGTATATATTTGGATTTTTCCAGGGAAAGGATTTATACCTTCAATCAGATTTTTAAAAGGGGGCTGTAACACCACAAAATAGTTTTCAGACCACTCTTTGGAGTTTTATATTACAAGGGTTTTAGCAGCATAGTTTAAGCCTTTTCTAAATAAATGTCTGAGTTCTTAGAAACCACGGGGTGTAAAATCCAACTATCTGAGAATATGTTAATAGGCAATGGTTGGTATTTTTTACCCTCTGTGTTCTTCCTTGGAAATTTTACTTTTTAAAAAAGTAGTCAAGTAAAAATGATTTCTAAAGTAAAATATCTGAACTTTTATAAACATTTTCATAGAACTCCCTAATAATAAGCTTTGTGGAATCTGAGTGTATTAGGGGATGATGATACTCAAAGTTATTTTTATAAAGTCTCTTTTTAAATGAAATCTTAACCCAGAGCACCAATAAATAAAATGCACAAAAGTGGAGATTTTTCACTTGTGGTTTGGTTTTTGAGTGAAACTCAAATGGGATCTGGAAAACACTGTTGAAAAATCACTGATGTCAATCCGGTAATAAAAATGACTTCTCAATAGGTAGCTGGAGTTAAAGTACTGAGTTTTTAATAGTGTATACTGTCATCTTTTTCATTTTCTGTTTTTTGTTTTTTAATTCTCTTTGGTTTAATAGGTACCAGGTTGAATTAGAAAACCTAAAAGATGAATATGTAAGGACACTTGAAGAAACAAGGAAAGAAAAGGTATTTCCCTTCATGATCACTCACCTCTTAGGGCTTACATTAGAGAATGGTTGGGGATGGCAGCAAACTAATGAGATAACAAGATGAAATGGGTGATGCCACTGCTTTTGGAACTTGGTCTTTAGTAGTGAAACAAATAGGAGTTTCTACTTCATGCCTCTAACTTTGGGACTGACTTATCATGGCATGCATCAGTATCACAGAAATTATCTAATTTTATCTCTCTCCATTAGACACTGTTGAATAGTCAGTTAGAAATGGAAAGAATGAAAGTTGAACAAGAAAAGAAGAAAGCCATTTTTACTCAAGAAGCAATAAAAGAAAAGGTATTGAATTTCATTTTGTTTTTGGTGTAACCATTTAGTAGATGCTGTGATTAATCTTTGTTGTTTTTTTTTTTTTTTTGAGACGGAGGTTTGCTCTTGTCACCCAGGCTGGAGTGCAGTGGCTCACTGCAATCTCCACCTCCCAGGTCCAAGCAATTCTCCTGCCTCAGGCTCCTGAGTAGCTGGGGTTATAGGCACCTGCCATCATGCCCAGCTAATTTTTGTATTTTTAGTAGATACAGGGTTTCACCACATTGGCCACTCTGGTCTCAAACTCCTGACCTCAGGAGATCACCTGCCTCGGCCTCCCAAAGTGCTGCATTACAGGCATGAGCCACCACACCCAGCCATGTTTTTTAATTTTAGCTATGCTGTATAATAAGCTTGTCCATCCTGTGACCCTGGTTGGCATGTGGCCCAGGATGACTTTAAATGAAGCCCAACAAAAATTCGTAAACTTTCTTAAATCATCATGAGATTTTTTTCATGGTTTTTTTTTTTTTTTAATCTCATCAGCTATTGTTAGTATATTTTATGTGTGGCCCAAGACAATTCTTGTTCTTCAAATGTGGCCCAGGATTAGAAATTCCTGTTTTATAGGTATCATTTTTTCAATGTCTGAAATCAACATAGTGATAAATTCTGTTATTATTATCAGTGTCCTGCTTGGAGTGGACCCAAAGTAATTTGAGTTTATACAAAGAGATTTATGATTTCCAGGACTTGAAATTGTCCCTTTTTAAATGAATTTACTCATCTCTCACTGAAACCAGTGCACTTCATTTGGCCTATAGGCAGTTAAGGAGTAAATCTGGCTTGCTTGCTTTCTGGTTAATGAGGGTAATTTTTCTAAAATAAATTTTCTGAGGCTGGCCTTGGTGGCTCACACCTGTAATCCCAGCACTTTGAGAGGCTGAGGTGGGTAGATCACTTGAGCCCAGGAGTTGAGACAAGCCTGGCCAACATGGCAAATCCCCATCTCTACTAAAAATACAAAAATTAGCCGGGCATGGTGGCATGAGCCTGTAATCCGAGCTACTCGGGAGGCAGAGGTGAGAGAATTACTTATACCTGAGACGCAGAGGCTGCCGTGAGCTGAGATTGCATCACTGCACTGCAGCCTGGGCGACAGAGTGAGACTTTTTTTCAAAAATAAGAAAAATAAAAATACAATGAGTTTTCTGTATTGAAAGAATTATAGTGTACTTGGAGTTAGCATAATATATTTAAACCACTTACATGTAAATTTAAATTACTCATCGAACTTATTTGGAATTTTAAAAATACATTAAAAATAAAATGGATGAGCCAGAAATTTTATGGTTTTTAACACTCATCAGTAATTTTATGTTACAGAAATAGGTTTAACTGATAGTATTTTGTATAATATGAAGCTTAACAGAAACATTCTCATTCCATTATAAAAACCCAACAAAGTACCTTATTGTAATAAATGGGTCCTGTGACGATCTAACCAAGTCTATCTACGGTTTTAATTAGTACATATTGTACTTTTTTCTTTTTTCTTTTTTTTTAAGACAGAGTTTCACTCTTGTTGCCCAGGCTGGAGTGCAATGATGCGGTCTCAGCTCACCACAACCTCCACTTCCCAGATTCCAGTGATTCTCCTGCCTCCGCCTTCCAAGTAGCTGGGATTACATGCATGTGCCACCATGTCCAGCTAATTTTGTATTTTTCGTAGAGATGGGGTTTCTCCATGTTGGTCAGGATGGTCTTGAAGTTCCTACCTCTGATGATCTGCCTGCCTCAGCCTCCCAAAGTGCTGGGATTTACAGGCATGAGCCACCGTGCCCAGCCAAATATTGTACTTTTTTTTTTTTTTTTTTGAGATGGAGTCTTGCTCTGTCGTCCAGGCTGGAGTGCAGTGGTGTGATCTCAGCTCACTGCAACCTCTGCCTCTTGGATTCCAGGTATTCTGCCTCAGCCTCCCGAGTAGCTGGGACTACAGCCATGTGCCACCACATCCAAATAATTTTTTTATTATTTTTTAGTAGAGACAGGGTTTCACCATATTGGCCGGGCTGGTCTCAAACTCCTGACCTTGTGATCTGCCTTCCTCAGCCTCCCAAAGTGCTGTGATTACAGGCATGAGCCACCGCACCCTGCCCAGTATTGTATTTTTGATAAGACTTCAGAAGTCTTTTTATGGGAAAATTAGAATGAATCTTTAAAAAATTTTTTTTCTTTGATTGTATTGAATTCCTTTGTAGTTTGCCTTTTTAAAAAAGATTGAATCTTTGTTCTCATTAACCCTAGAAAATGTTCTTTCTTTCTCTGCTTATCTCTTTGCTCTTTAATCTGAACAGAATTTTTTTTTTTTTTACTCTCTAAGGAACGCAAGCCATTTTCTGTTTCTAGCACTCCCACCATGTCACGCTCAAGTTCAATAAGTGGTGTTGATATGGCAGGACTACAGACATCTTTTCTGTCTCAGGTGATGTTTTATTTTTATATGTGCTTGGTTCTTAGAATAATAATAAAGGAAATATGCAAATATCAAGATTGTCTGTCACCACGACCTTGCCATTTTATAGACAATGCATCTGAATACTTGTGGAGGAGTACTAATTGTAGTGAGAGGAAATACATGGATGATTTTCTGCCTTTGAGAAAGTCATAATCATTTAAAGCAAAAATTGACAGAACCATTTTTGTTCAAACCTGGTAATGGAACACAAGCTATGATAACCAAATGACTGTATGTGCTTTCTTAATTAACATAGGATGAGTCTCATGATCATTCATTTGGACCAATGTCTGTATCAGCAAATGGAAGCAACCTTTATGATGCCATAAGGATGGGAGCAGGATCTAGCATTATTGAAAACCTACAGTCTCAGCTAAAGCTAAGGGAAGGGGAAATTACCCATTTACAGGTATTGGAAAAATTAAATTTGCTATGGAAGTAAATGAAGTTTTGGGGCCAGTGAATAGCATCCTTCATTTGCATCTGAATTCTGAGCAAATTGAGAAACAAGATGACATAAGTGGCATGTGAAGCCCAAAATGTATCATATATAAATGATAAAGGCTAAAAAGGGAAATTAGCTAAGGAAAACAGCCAACTGAACCTGACTGATTGCCAGAATTAGGCAGATTTGGCTGATTTGTCACAGGAAATGCTGGGCTGGGGCAGGCATCCCATGTGTTACAACCTGCCTGCATAAGACGTAAGCCTCTAGGAGCAGAGGATGCCTCCTCCTTTCAAGTAGCTCTTTCCCAGCAGGATAAAGGGAAGTTGCTGAGCTGAGAATGCCTGTTCTATTCAGATTTACCTCCTAGATAAGTTATTCCAACTCCCCCGGGAATGAAGGAATAAAGAGTATGAGAGATGTTAGAACTGTAATAGCCTGTACATGGGAGGAAACAACATGAGTTGTTGAGGGAGGATCCTCCCATCTTAACCTTTTTGGCTTTTAAAAAACTTTGAACAGTCAGAAATGTTAAAATGTTTTACAGCTTGAGCATCCCAAATCTGAAATCCAAAATGCCCCAAAATCCAAAACTTTGAGTGCTGACATGATTTACAAAGGAAATACTGAATTGAGCGTTTTGGATTTCCAGATTTGGGGTGCTCAGCCAGTAAGTACGTAATGCAAATATTCCAGAATCTGAAAA